TTTTTTTTTTTTTTTTTTTTTTTTTTTGAACCATAAATATGAGGAGAATTTACAATCTGAATCGGGCTCTTTTTGGCAGAAATTATGTGAAACAGTCTTGAAATAGGATATGCTGAAACTCAGTGAAACTTACAAAACAGTAAAGCGATCCAGAAGACCTGGTAGAGAAGTTAAATGCTCTAACCATTTTCGCAGTAAGACCTTCTTTATCAAACATTAACGATATAACTTGAAGCACCCAATCACAAAACAATACATAAAAACATCAGAACTCCATTACCACGATAGCTACTTCGGGAGTTAGTATAGGGTTGCAACGAAGCTAATGGCTTCACAGCTCCCCACAACTTCTTGCTCCTATAACCCTGTGGCAATTGCGGCAAATTAAACTTAGCACGTGGCCACAAACTATATTCAGAGAAAACAATTGAAGTAAACAGCTGATATCTACCTGCCCACCAATAATTGAAGAATTCAGCAAACTGGCCATCTGGGTGTTATACACCAAACTTACGCTCGAGGATTTAGCGATAGAGAGGTGAAGCAGCAGGGATGCCAAAGACAAGACAAGAACGAAAAGAGCAATCCATTTGATCTTTGATCTGAACAACATCTTGGCTCATCCAGGACCAATAGCGGTTACAACTCCACTACGTCCTAATTCTACATGCAACGCAATAATAACCGCAATTCATGTCCAGATCCAAGATCCAATCGCCGCACGCATCAAGAAGTAAGAATCAACAAAAAAACGCGAGCGTCCAAGGTATAAACCCTAAGGAAATACATACAAAGCAAAACCCAAAATCATATTCAATTGGAATACCGTAAGAAGAAAAGCAAACCGACACCAAAATTGATACAGCGCAACAGCATTACATCCCAAAGAGAAGAACACCAAACTCCTCGATCTGAAAAATGCAAGCATAGATTTGAAAAAGAAGAAGAAAAAGAAAAAGAAAAACGTATGAAACTAACCTTGAAATCAGCGAGAAGGGATTATTGGAACACATACAATCAAATCGGAAACCAATCAGGAGAGGAAAGAGGAAGCAGGAATTGCAGAAACAGTAGAGAGAGAATGGAAGAAGAGGAGAGATTAGAGAACATTAGAGAGTGATGGAGAATGGAGAAGAAGATTGGATTACCTGAAACTGAAGAAACAAACAAAGAAATGGGAGTTTTGAAAAAATAGAAGACGTCCGTTCCCTTTGTTCTGTAAACCATATGCCCACAACCCACTGTTCACTACTTACACTACACCCACTGCCTTCCGCCCTCTCCTTTCCATTATAAAAATATATATTATTATATTACTATATATATATATATATATATATGATATTGTGATGCGTTTAAAAATTTGAAGTCAATTGTCTTACCTGAAAAGATGTTAATAAAATAAAATATTTTGTAACATACGCATCATATGTTATGACTTGTCAGACCTAAACTCATCAATTTATTTTTCGTTCTCTATACATCATCCATGCATATGTGTTTAGAATCACTAGTGGACTTGTTAACGTCTTCCTAGATTTGATATGGGCTATGGGCTAGCACACACTTACGCTATCGAAAAATTGGTAGAAAAGAAATGAACGTGAAAATATTGTGATCTATGCATTTGTACGTATCACATATGAGCATATGATAACTCTCCAAAAGCAAAGTTATATCACGTCTTTTTATAGTTAATTTTGTACTCATAATCACTGTTTTTTTATTAATTGCTTCATTTATCTAATTAGTATACATGAAATAATCCACTGTGGTTTAATATGAATATAAGTTTAATTGGCATAAATTGAGCTTAATTGTTTACTTAATTGAGTTATTTGGTAAAATTCCAGAACATTCATGCCGTAGCAAATCTAAAAACAACCTTGCATCTGGGAATAAATTGCTGACTCTGATGTTGAAGCAATTTGGAACGCAAATTTTTCAGGGATGACATGGACATTTTAATCCAGCAGTCTACCTGGGCCATTGACTATCTAATTAGAAACATCCTGGGTGAACGATTTTATCCTTCACAACTCTAAATGAGAAGAAACAATCATTATAAAAGGAAAATGATACCGACAAAAAATGAGAGAGAAGAGCCACACTTTGGGAGAAAAATTGAATTAGGCAGCAGCAGCAGCCTCTACTGCAGTGAAATCAGAGAGGAAGAAGAAAACCCTAATCCAGCAGCTGCTGATGGCAGAAGGAAAAGAAGACGAAGAAGGATTGATTGGGGCAAAGAGGTGGACTTGAGAGCTCAAGAGAAGGAAATTTCCGTTGAAGGGCAACAATAAGTTTGATAACTCTCTATTTTCTTAGTCGCTCCTCTTAATCTATTCATTTTATATGATTGAGATGTGAGTTCCTCTGTTTAATTCAGTTTGTATGGAAAGCTAAACTTTATAGGAGAGGCAAGAGAATTTTATTTAGTTTAAGTATGTTGACGGTATGATCTTAGTTTATTAAAGAGTTGTTAATAATTTACATGTGTGTTTAGTTAGCTACTTTACATACATAGTTGTTCTCTCATTCGGTAGAAGAGAGGAAGCAATGAAATCCTCTTCAATAGTCGAGTTCCATGGCAAGAAGACTTGAAGGGTAATAGAACAGTTAGAAATAATTCTTCTCCTAGAGGCCTTGTTAATAGAAATTAAACGAGTATGAATAATCACCATTCATGACCCTCGAAAATCGACTTGTGAATCTATTAAAAGGAATTAAATCTACCACAAAACTCAACAACTTATCTATTTAATCTCTCTTAGCCAAACCTTCCTCATTATAAGTTGATTTCTTCATCATTTTTTGTTTTTCAACAGCAGTGAGTGCTTTAGTTTTGTTTAATTAGTCAAAATCATCCACACTCATTTGAATGTTACACAAAAACTCACTTAATTTTCAGCGATAAAATTAACCACAAGATCGGTTCTCTGTGGAATCGATAATTTACTTATTACTTCTACTTGTGATAGTGTATACTTGCACTTATTATTGTGAATTTTACATCATTTTATTATATACATCTACAAGCGATCTGCATTCATAATACTTCTATACATAATATGGAAAAGTATAATGTGGATTAACGGGAAAAGTATTATTCTCATGACTTTGAAACACTCCTGCCATCGACCGCAACACACATAAATTTGAATGAGTTTAAATTACTCAATAAGTAACCTATTTGTAGGGTTTAATCAATTTTTTCTATGGCAATATACCATGTAGCTAGGTCACTGGCTCTAAGTTTTGTAGCTTTAGGCGAGCTTATGTAAAGCATTGGACCTTATGAGTCTCAATCTCTTGAAATCTTGCACTATTGAGGTCTTTATTGAATTGTTCCCTCATCCCATAGTATCTCATGTACTTGTCCTATTTAGGCTTTAATCGTCTCACAGTGGCTCATTATTCGACCCCTTTAAAGCACATTTATACCATTTGAGTTCTCTCGGGGATCTTAGTGTAAGTTAGTTAATCATAAGTTGAAGTGTTATTGCTCATGTCGCGTACCCAAATATCATGTATATGTGAGGTGCAGCATTTATCTGCTTCTAACTATTAAGTTGTTCATAATTTGAGAGCAACAACCCTCGTGCCTACCAAGCTACTAGACTCATACGAACCCTCTCCCTTCAGGCAAGTTCACGATCAATGAATAGCTGAAGATTCCTTAATTGTCCCATCATGAGTTATGTCTAGCACATCAATCGTTCTCCGGGCACAACCCTATCAAATCCAACTTTGATAAACTACTAAATACGAATTCAAACTCCTACCACTGAGATAGGTTCACTAATAGGAGTCCATAACGAGCATCACCGTGAAGACATTCACCCCTCAAAATGAGTTTACAATTAAGGATAAGTTAGCGAGCCCCCTAACTGTCCCTGTCCCTACGCTAACTTACCCTACATGCTTGTCTCATTTAACTATAAGCTACTAATTATGGGTCATGAGATAAAACATAAAACTCTCTCGCCTCCATGTAAGGTTTAGTAAAATAAAATATTAGTAAACAATTAGAGAGTTACAAAGATTTGTTGTTGTCCTTTTTGTTGTCATCGGTTGCTGAATTAGGGTTCTACTTTTGGTTAGATAGTCTTTCTTGTCTACGTTAAAAGTCCCACAATCATTGAACTTAATTTGGCAAGAATCCCATTGAACCATCACTTAAAATATTGGGCCAAAGAGGCAATTATTTGAAGGTTGACTCTCACCACCTCAAACGTTCTCAAGCGAATCAGAGTTATTGGATAGCCTCGTGAAGATACATCATAGTTCCTATGTGTTATTCATGAAACGTGAAATGTTGTAGGTCAACCAATTTGGGAAAAAAATCGGGAAATAAGTGGATTTTATGAAATCAATAGTGATGAATATATTTCAGTATATCATTCAAACGCTAATTTCTCATCCCTTGTTGGACCTCATGCATATATGTTACTTTATTTTGTATATGGGTTAGTGAGTCCAAGTTCAAGTTCATGTATACACGTTGTATGCAGTGGGACCTAGGATGGTTAATATTTTCTTAGGGGTTTACGTTCATAGATGTTGCATGTGCTTACCTTTTCTAATCCCAAAGTGGTCGAAATACTAATATACAATCCATATATCAAATATTTCAAATCGTAAAACTTTTTTATTAATATATTGTTTCTGATGATAAAGGTATATGTTGTTTTTGTACATAAAAAAAATGATAAAATAAAGAAAAAGGAATAAAATCTTGCATTAATAAGTTTAAACAACATTATAGATTTGTTTTTAACATAGAATCGCGTTTGATTTTGTATGATTAAAAATAACTTACCTATTTTCCTTTCAAAGTTTAGTACACATTGTGACATTAATGGGGTTTAAAGTTTGTCGTCAAAATTTTACAGTACTTACCGGCAGATGATTGAGCTTCTCTTCCTGTTCCTTCTCATTCATCCACAGTAAAGTCTCATTCTCAGTCTCCCTTCTTCTGTAAAGGTTCAGTCAGGAGAATTCAAATAGCTTTACCGAGTTCCATCAGTTTTACAGGAGAGTAAACATTAGCTGCGGAGTGCTACTTACTCCGGAACAGGAAGTCAATCCCCAACTCCTTATACTCTATTTTATTACCGTTCATTATGAGAAAAAAGATGAATGAGCTACTGAACCTCTCTCTATTCATGACCTGAACTTGCCAAGCGAGTAACTGAATTCAATCGTCTATCCTTCCCAATCGAGTAAATAAAAGAGATAGATAGTGAAACCGGAAAGAGAAAGCCGAAACCTTAAACCTTTTCCTTGGCTGGCTGAACTAGTGAACCGGAACCAGATGGAACTCAGTCTTGAACAAGGGTCGAAAGATGAATTCTTGATCTTCTCCTTCACCTCTCCAATGGAATAGGTTTACCTCTAGGGAGAGAGACTTTCTTGATTCTAACTGACGGTTGGTTGGCTCAAGGCTTTAATAAGATGCAAGCGGGGCAGGTGAACTGCCAGTGATCTTTCTTGTCTTAGGACGACTTGCAGGTTCGTGAAGTAGCTCTGGATTCAATTCTCCCCTCTGTAATTGCAGCTTCAGCAATTTCCTTAATCAGGCCACGGGGGATTAGGTAGTTACAAAAGAAAAGCCCTTATCAGTCTAAACCAAGGCATTCTATTGATAATACTCAAATCGAAAGGTTAGTCTGATTTTCTACATTCTACAGGCCCCTTGGATGCTATTTTGATTCCTTACCCCGAGTTTAGTCAGAATTTGCTCTATTAGTTGCTCCCAGACAAAAAAGGTGAGCGCCGGTGAAGGAAGCTGCAAGGATGATTAGAGATAGAAGCACCACTGTTGCCGGTGAGTAAACAAAGAGTGGACATTTGACCTCTTTTACCTGTGAATCTGAAGAAATAGTGAATCTCGGTGGAGATCGTCCCAGTCTTGATGATGCACTGTATATGACCCAACCCATCAAACACCTACCTATTTATTTACCGAGTTCTATCAAAGAGATAGTTCAACCCTTGCTTACGGGAGAGGTTCCTTCTTTCATTCATTTACTCGACCGGAAAGTTCAGGGAATATCTAATTCTTCTTCTTCTTCTTTCATTCTCTAAACAAGGTAAAGAAAACGTCTTCCTTCTTCTTTCTTTCTTTCACCTAT